GGCGCAGCAGTGCGTACGCGGGCTCCACCCTTTACCTGCCTTCTTACAGGCTGTCTGGCCTATGGGCGTTGTCGCGTTCCCTGGCGAGGATTGGGCTGCGTCCTGAGGTGGGCGGGCCGGGAACAGAGGGCGGCGCTTGAGTGGCAGCACCTGTGGTAAGCGTTTCTCGGACCGTAGGACCGCTAGTTCCCGCTCAGCAGCTGCAGCACCATCAATTACAATTGGCTCCAAGTGCAAATAATTGGTCCCCGCCAACTGCATCATCAAGTTCAAACGTGGCTCCGAGGTGTTTCCAATGCGGCTAAGGCACAAGAATCTGCGCCTTGAGGAGGGTATTAACTAGCTGGCTAGTTGGCTCAGCAGCTGAAGGCACTTGCTGCCAATTCTTATCACCTCAGTTCTATCCCCACGACCTAGATGGTGGAAGGAGAGAACTGATTCCTGCAAAATGTCCTTTGACCTCTAACACGAATGCCGTGGCCACACACAAACAATAAAAAATAATTTTAAAAACTGTTTTTTTAAAAAAAAAAAGTGGAGTGGGGCATTGGTGGTGCCTTTAATTCCAGCATTGGGAGGCATAGGCAGGCGGATCTCTGTGAGTTCAAGACCAGCCTGGTCTAAAGAGTGAGTTCCAGGACAGCCAGGGTTGTTACACAGAGAAGCCCTATCTCGAGGGGGAAAAAAAAGTGGGTGTTAGCATCCATTTTTCTCAAGCACAAGCTGATCAGTAATGGAACCCCGTTCTACTGGACCTCAAAGAACCCTGAGTTCTTAAACAGCTTCCAGTGCTTTCTGGGTTAACCCAAATCATTGTACAGAACGAGGTCAGTTCACAGAACCACCCCTCCAGGTCTAGGCTATAGATTGGAAGATACGCCATCCTTTATGTGCTTCCTCTTGTAACCCATTGGCTGTAGAAGAGCAGATCTGGCTTATTCCAGCTGTGATAACTAAAACAAAATGCTCCTGAGTTTTAGTTTGACATAGGGTCTCCTTGTGCTGTCCAGGCTGGCCCAGAACTCCTGGACACCACCTGCCTCAGCCTCATAGCATCTCATGGGAGGTTTTTGTTTTGAAGATGTATCTATTTGTTTGGTTTTTCCAGACAAGGTCTTTCTGTGTAACAGTCCTGGAACTCAATTTGTAGACCAGGCTGGCCTCAAACTCACTGAGATTGGGCTGACTCTGCCTCCCTAGTGCTAGGATTAAAGGCTTTTGCCACCACTGCCTGTCTTATTTATTTTTATGTGTATGTGTACCTGCATGTGTTTATGTGCACTAGATGATAACAGAGGGCATTAGGTCCCCTAGAACTAGAATTATGGGCAGTTATGAGCCACCTGATTTGTGTGCTGGGAACCAAACCAGGGTCCTCTGAAAGAGCAGAAGTCACACTGAGCTCTTTATCTAGACCGAGCTCAATGGTTTTGATTTAGAATTCCTGTTTCAGGTCATAAACCTCACTTTAGGAATCCCATTTTATGCTGTTGAGTGGTTACATACTCATAATATTGAAAAATTCCCCATCCATCTAAGGATTTTTAAAAAGTTTTTTTTCTCTCTCTCTCAAGACAGGTTTTTCTGTATAGCCCCGCTGTCCTAGAACTTACTCTGTAGCCCAGGTTAGCCTCAGAGATCCACCTGCCTCTGCCTCTAGAGTACTGAGATTAAAGGCATTCATCACCACTGCGCTGAAGAATTTATTTTGTATTATTTTACTTAAGACAGGGTCTTACTATGTAGCTCTAACTGGCCTTGAATTCAGAGTTCTGCTTGTCTTTGCCTCCCAGAAGCTGGGATTAAAGACATGTATTGCCACACCTTTTTTTTTTTCTTTTTCTTTTTCTAGACAGGTTTCTTTGTATTTCTTTGGAGCCTGTCCTGGAACTAGCTCTTTAAACCAGGCTGGCCTCAAACTCACAGAGATCCACCTGCCTCTGCCTCCCGAATGCTGGGACTAAAGGCCTGTGTCACTAAAGCCCGGCCACACCTAACTCTTAAATGTTTTTATTAGCATATACTGATTATCCCACAATAATGGATTTCATTATCACATCTTCATACACATATAGAATGTATTTCTATCACACACACACAAATCCCCTTTATTTTCCTTCTACTTTCATGTCTTTTTGTGTGTGCGATCAACCACTTACAAAAATCTCTCTGCTTCCCCCAGCAACCATTCTGTGTATATAAATCTTCTGGTGTTGACTGGCCCAGTCTTATGGAGACTTTGTGCAGATAATCTGAGCTCATACGAGATCAAGGGTACAACCACCATGTCTTGCCTGGACTTCAGAGTTCCACACTGCTCTCCCTTCTTCTTGTAGATCTTACATTCTCTCAACCTCATCTTCCTAAATGTTCCCTGAGCCTTAGAAGGTGTAATATGGCTGTCCCACTTCTGGCTGGGTATTCAACAGTCATTTATTCTTGGCCGTTTGGTCCGTTAGGAGTCTGCAGTTCCCTCTGAGCACTGCCCAATGAACCTCCTTTGACCAAAGCTGATCACTGAACTATCCTAGGTACAGGGTTTGTTCTGTATTTTAGTTTCCCAGGCCAGTGGTTGAGTCAGGAAGGATGCAAAGCTGAGGTCAACCTGGGCTATGTAGGGAGACCTTGTTTTTTTTCCCCAATTAATCTTTATTTTATGTGCACTGTGTTTTTCCTGCATGTATGTGTGACGATGCCAGATTCCATGGAATTAGAGTTAGACAGTTGTGAGCTGCCATGTTGGTGCTGGGGTTTAAACCTGGGTCCTCTAGAAGAGCAGTCAGTGCTCTTAACCACTGAGCCATCTCTCCAGCCCCTGGGAGACCTTGTTTTTAAAACAAAACATATAAAAAAAAACTGAAAGGAAGGCCAATCATGGTGATTATTGTAATACCAGCACTTAGAAGAAGATAGAAGCAGGAGGATCAGAATTTCAAGGCAGTTCAAGGTCAGCCTGGGCTGTGAGAACTCACATTAAAACAAAAGATATACCAGGTAGTAAAGACATACATGAGTTTGTGAAGTTGCTTAGAGGCAAAGCCCTGGTGCCAAACTAAATACCTATATAGAAATCAGTTCTGTAAATGTAAAAATTCTCAGGTCTCACTGCAGAAAAAAGGAGGCATACAAAACTATTTGACCTGAGTTTGATCCTTAGAACTTGCATTAAAAAAGATGGGTACAGGAGCTTGAGAGTTGACCCAATAGTTAAGACCATGGTTGCTTTCTCAGCGGACCTGGGGAATCAGTTCCCAGAATCCATATGGTACCCCTCAATGCTCAGTACCTCAAGTTCCAGGGAATCCAACACCTCTTCTGGCCCTTATGGGTACTGCATGCATATGGTGCACATACATCATAATACATACATACATACATACATACATGCAGCATAACCCGTACACATAAACCTTTGCAGAAGGAGCTCTGTATCAGGGCCTGGCAGCTGATCCACAAGCCACAGAACCAGAATGATACCCACTGGCTGCCAGATACTCCTGGAGATGAATGTGAGCAGGCTATAGAGCATGGTTCAAGACAAACCTGGTCTTCAACCTGAAGGATGGAGCTCAGGTCCTCCAGGCTTATGTGTTATGTGGTAAGTGCTCTTATCCACTGAGCCAGCTTTTTTTGTTTGTTTTTGTTTTTGTTTTTTTGAGACAAGATTTCTCTGTGTAGCCTTGGCTGTTCTGCAACTCACTCTGTAGATCAGGCAGGCCGCAAACTCTGAGATTCATCTGCCTCTGCCTTTTGAGTGCTGGGATTAAAGGCATGTGCCACCACTGTCTGGCTGAATCAGCTCTTTTAATTATAATTTTTTGAGACAGGGTGTATCCCTTGCTGGCCTAGGACTCCATATGTAGACTAAACTGGTCTCAAACTCACAGAGATCTGCCCACTACTGCTTCTCAAGTGCTAGGATTAAAGGTTACACCAACATGCTAGGCTGCAATTGGTTTTGCACGAAGAGAGATGAATTTAGCATTCTTGTCTAGAAGATGAAGTATGTTTTGTTTTTTATATGTATTTACACATGTTTAATTACTAGTGTGAAAAATAAGTACATTGTAATGAAAATCAAGTTTAACGTGTTGGTTTGGAATGGAGAGTTGTTGGGGTTTCTTGCTTTCTGAGCAAATGAAAATGTTCTGCAGGGCTAGTGAGATGACTCAGTGGGTAGATGTGCTTGTCACTAAGCCTGACGATTCCTAGAGCTCACATGGTGGAAGGAGAGAACCGACTCCTGCAGGTTGTCCTGTGATCACCACACACAGGCACCTTGCAATGTATGCCCCACACACATACTAAATGAGTGTAAAACAATTTTAAAACCTTGTTCCAGTTGCTTCCTTTGTTAGGGAAGAGCTTCTGATACCACAGTATGTGCACATATGTGTTAGGGGCCACAGAAGTGTCATAACATAGATCCAGAAAAAAATGAAGTACAGAGAGTGTCATAATGATCGGTAATGCTCTGCATGTTCATTTAAAAAAATTGAAGGAGAGAGTAAGAATTCTGGAGGGTCACCCTGAAAAACATAGCAGCTGGGTATGGGAAGTCATTTACCGGCAGGACAGTCTTGCAAAGGTTGGCTTCTAGGGGAAAGCACAAATTCAACCTCAGGCTTGTTCCGGTGAGAGATCTCAGACATCTCAGTGGAAGAGAGCTGAGGACAGTGTGTGCCCTTTGGGCTCTCACTTTTGGGCATTAGGAAAAGAGGCTGGAGACTTTCCCCCAGGCAGGCCACAGTGGTCACAATGTGGACTTTGTGATGCTCTGTGATATAACCAGGGTGGCCCTGATAGCAGGAGCACTGAGGACAAAACTTATGCTCTCTCTGTCCGTTCTAGCATCTTCTCTCTAGGGCCAGTCAGGACTCTACCTCGGGGTAAGAAAATGGACAGGAGGGGAAGGTTGAAGCTGGAGGGAAAGCTTGAAGCATGAAGGGATGCTGGCACTGTCCATAGCCTCAGCCCCATGTCCTTTCAGGTAGAGAAGCCAGTCTGCTGCCTGCCACATGACCCGTTGTCTGGGCCAGAAATGGAGTACTGTTGGGTCTTTGGGGGGCTCATCTTGTTGCTGATGGCTCCCTACCTGGATCGGACACATGAGTCAGCACTCCAGCAGGAATGGACATACATGGTACCCCAGCACTGTAACTGGCTGTGCTTCAAATTTGGGGAGAGTGGCTGCTTTTCACGGACCCCCAACTGCTCCACCTGCCACCACACAGCTGGAGAATGGAGCTGGTTTGAAGCATGTTATGAGAAGAGCATGGGATATTTGAGGAGGACAGAAGCTCTCTGGTGGCTGGTCAGTGGTTAGTTAGGATTGGGCGCTGAGCCACTCACTTTCCTCTCCAGGTCCAGTTCACCTCCTGTCTATCCTTCAGCCCAAACCTCTTCTCTTGGCTGCTGTGTGCATCTCTTTTCTTCATCCTTAGCCCCGCCCAGAACCAATGGCTGGTGCTAGAACCCTAACTTCTCTCTCTGCTGTTACTAGGGCATGAACTCAGTAAGTAAGCTTGGAAAAACGTGGAAGAAGCTATCAGAAATGATTCCCAGGCCCCTCCTGCACCATTTTGATTTCCCCTGTGTACCCTGCACCATGTTGGGGAACTCTGGCCTCAGCAGTACCAACCAATTCGACATGGATTTCAGGTAGGTACCAAGTGGAACATAGCAGGGCTTGGGTCAGGCTTACCCCAGGTTCTGTGAATGTCTGCCATTGTTCCCAGGATGAGTGAGGACACCACCCATAGCTCTGAGGCAGTTTTGAGGAGCCAAACCACAGGACCCTCCATCTGTCCCAGGAATGCCAGTCATCAGGGTTCTTGGGAGCAGTGGTCTCTGGAGCTTGCTGAGCTGGTGACAAGGTAATGGAGACGTGCTAGCTATTCTCAACGTGGAGGTACAGGAAGCTCCCCTTGAGAAGATGGGAGGAATGTTGGGGAGTCTGCCTTGCTGGGGGCATCTGAGGTCTCAGGAGCTTTCTAGAATTTCACCATCTCCAATTCTTTCTCAACTGTAGATTTTGGGAGACAGTCTGATTTCTTTAGAGGCACGAGATAGTTAAGATGAGGTAAGGAACATGTAACTCTGATCTTCTGTGGGAAGGGGTTCAGGCTAGCCCAGACAAAACTATACCATAGGCAACTAGCTGGAAAACCAGGGTGACTGGCCAATACTGGAATTCATGGTCTGGTCTGCATGGTCAGCACGAACTCATTGCATTACCTGTTATCTTCAGCATGGAGGCCAAAGTTCTGTGTACATACACACTCCTCCCTACCTTCACGTCTCCTATTCTGCACTTTAATTTAAAAAAATTATTTGTGTGTATGAGTATTTTGACTACGTGTGTGTGTGTGTGTGTGTGTGTGTGTGTGTGTGTGTGTGTGTGTGTGTATACTATGTTTATGCCTGGTGCCCTCAGAAGTCAGAAAAGGGAGTTGGATTCCTTGGAAATGGAGTTCTGGATGGTGCTGGCCGCCATGTGGGCGCTGAGAACCAAACCCAGGTCCTCGGCAAGAGCAGTGAGTGCTCTTAACCAAGCTACCTCTCCAGCCCTTATGCAGCTCCCCAGTGCTGTAGCTGCCCCTTTGCCTTTTCACAGGCCCTTCCCTGTGTGGAATCCCCTTCCCAGGGCATAACAGAAATCAGCTAGTTGATGCTCTTTTTTGAGGCCCAGGGTAAGTCTATGAGAGTGTTTATCGAACTGTGTTCAGCCGGTCTTCCCTAGAGAAGGGAAGCTCTGTTCTCTCCCAGCTCTAGAAACAGCCTGTCACTAGATGAAAGAAGGAACAAGGGCTGAAGGACAGGATTCAGCCTGCTGACATGCACATCCCTCTCATATGCTAGGCCACCCTTTCTGGATTTGGATCAGAACAGCAAAGCAAGTGGTCCCATTATGATAATCAGACCAAAGCCCCCAGAAGGACCTGTCTGCATCGACTAGAGAAGCACAAAAGGAAGATGCTTGTCAGCTAGGATGGCCAGACAAGGCTGCCATTTACAAGTGACAACCAGCTGAGGCATGAATGCTGGAGAGTTTTAGGATCACAACAGCCACATAACTGTGAAAACATTCATGGGTGAAGATCAAAAGAAAATGCTATGAGATCAGTCTGGAACTGAATAAAATCTTGGTCTGGTTCTCTTATATGTAGGCACAGTATCTGGGGAGGAAGGGTCAGATTCCAGGGGCAATGTCTGTCTGTCTATTAGACACCCCCTCCCTGACCCCTACAGCTCTGGCCTCTGTCTATCCTGAACTTGTTCTGTAGACTTGGCTGGCCTTGAACTCAGAGATCCACCTGTTCTTGAGCATAATTTTACAATGTAGCCTAGGCTGACCTTGAACTCATGATGTTCTTGTCTCAGCCTTCTGAGGACTGGCATTACAGGTGTGCACTGCCTTGCCCAGTGTTATGTAGCATTTTCCTAAAAGACAAAACCTTTCACTTTGGAGGAAGACATAGGTTCAAAGGAGAGGCAAAAATTCCATCCTCTAGGGAAGCTCCCCAAGTAAACAACTCAAAAGCTTCAGGAAGTCCCCAAAATGGAGCAGATTAAAATATCCTTCTCTCCATAAGCACATACAAGCAGTGAGGCCTACAGAGAGTCATTCCTAGAGAAGCCTAGCTGCCTGGAAGGAAGCAGAGATCAACTGAACTGCCCAGAAGAGTCTCCAGCCCATGGAGCTGCCTGCAAGTTAGTTATGCAGTGAGCTACAAATGTTCAGCATTTGTGACACCCATGCTAGGGTGGGCTTTTGGTGATGTAGCTGTCTTTGGTTTATTTCTACTCCTGTTAATACCCCTTGCCCATACTCCCATAAGTAACCCCAGTAAAAGGCATTGACTCGCTGTATTTACACTGAATAAATATCATGATCAAACTCAAGTTAGTTTCGCTGTTTTCAGAGGGGACTGATTCTTCAGTACAGGGAACTAAGAAAAATATGCACACACTAAAAGAGGAAATCAGGATACCAATATATACACATGTGAAGGACTTAACTGTCAAAATACAAGATGTGAGAACACATGTGCTGCTCAGCTCAAGCATGGAGTCCCGGGAACAAGAAACACTGCAGGGCAGTGACATTGCTTGGGGTGGAACTCACACCCAGCACCCTGATGTCTTCAGTTCTATCCCCAACACTTCAAAAAAGGGGGACACTACTACTCTTAGTCTTTGAGGAAGTCACCAACGATGGTCTTAGGCCTATGCGCTCCAGTCTGTATGGCCAGGTCCTTTCTGTGCTGACAGGCTTGACACATGGTGGGACTTAGAAGCCAGAGTCACTTCCAGCTGATGTGCCCAGTGAAGGACACGGGAGGGTATCCAGACAGCCATGTGTTATGGGGAAAGAAGCCAGATGGACTTCTCAAATGGAGACTGACTTTAGCCAAAAGTCAGAGAGCCTGATGTAGGTAAAGAAACATGGTGGATGCTTGCTGTCTGGGTTAGAGCTAGAGGCCTGCTGTAATCCAGCCTCTAGCCTTGGTCCAACCTTTGCCACAGATAGACTCGATCCCCACCATGTGTTTAGCAATGCTCTCAACAATTCCATCCCTCAAGGGTCAGTGGGCGATGGCCTTGCTGTCTTGCAATCTCTACAGTACTTATGTTCATACATGTCTCTAAATCGTTAACGTGTTACTTGGTTCTTTTTTTGTTTATAAGTATATGCATATGTATGGGCATGTATGTGCTATCCACATGTGTGGAGGTCAGAGGGCAACTTATTCTCCCATCTTGTGGGGTGGGGGATAGAACTCAGATTGTCAGGGTTGGCAGCAAGTTCCAAGCATCTCACCAGACATATTACATGGTTCTTATCAGTCACACTTGAGGCTGGGCCAGGATTTTCCTCTGTAACCTTCCCAGTTAGACAGCATACTGGATGTTCTGCCCATCTACAGAAGTAGAGACAGCAGCTGGGGGCAAATGTAAAGGCCTGGGATTTATTGATAAAGGGGAAGGTGAGGTATACACTGAAGCCAAGAAGGCAGTGGACACTCTCTGTACTTAATGCATTGAGGATGCTCCTGCCCAGGGCAGAGTACCCACATGCTGATGGAGCCAACAGGGCCTTCTGGCTCAGTGTAGACTGTGGTTGCTTCAACAGGCAGAAAGACAACAGATGCCCTGTATCAGGGCAAGGCACTTCTTGTGTAACAGGAGGTTAGCAAGCAAATGATTTGTCTCATTCCCATGTGAGCTGCAACCTTGTCCAGCCTGGAGGCTTCCCATTTTCTTCCTGGGACTGTCAGCTGCCCTGGGCCTCCTAGTTGGGTAACAGAGCTAAATCAGAGCAACTGTACTGCTGTGGGGAGGGAGCTGTGACCCCTCTCTGCAGTTGTCCAATGTGCAGCACCCTGCTGGCCTATGTTCTGCCCTGGTTATGGCTGCTACCTGGGAGTAGTTTGAGCAGTGTCCAGACTGGGGTGTGGCAGAGCTGGCCCTGGGGATGTCAGACTCTGACTCAGGGACTCGTCCAGCTTTCGGGTCTCAGCCTCCAGAACAGTGGCCTCGGGGGCCTGGGCCACAGTGAGGAGGGAGTGAGACAGGCTGTGATGCAGGCCTGCTAACTCACGGCTGGTCTGCACGGATCGCGCAATGTAGTCCTGCCTCTGCTTCCGCTCCAACGCCAACTGGGCTCGCAGCAGGGCTACCTGGTGGACAGGAGAACCAAGAAGGAGAGCAGTTGAAGGCTCCAAGGCTGTCCTGGCCCTTCTGCTCTGTGCACCCGTGGCTTGTGGCTCCACCCTGGGATCAACTGCTACATATCTGGATCTCAGAATCAGGTGCTAGAGTTGGGATGAGTGTCCCACGGACTCCAAATCCAGTGATTCTCAACACTGGCTCCACAGTAATGGCAACTGGCTTAATTGCCCACAGAATCTAGCACCTGGGACTAGGTACATCAGGTTGGCCTGTACATGTCTATGAGGGACTACCGTGTCTACACAGACGATGTGGGAAGACCCAGCTCGTTTGTGCTGGTGGTTCCATTCCTTGGCTCTGAGTCCTGGACTAGAGTGAGCTAAGTAATAGGTATGCATGCATTCGCTCTCAGCTGCTTTAAGTTCTGGCAGCCTTGCCTTCCCTGCTACGATGGACTGATACCTGGAATTGTGAGCTAAAATAACCCTCTTTCCTGTACATCACTGTTCTCAGGGTGTTTATCAATGAAACTAGGACAACAGGCGACACATGGGGAGCTGCAAGCATCAATGGAACTCAGCAACTTTATCTTAATTTTTAAGATTTACTTAAAAAAATGTGTGACTGTTTTGCCTGCAAGTATGTACACCATGTGTGCTTGGTCATAAAAGATCATCAGATCTCCTGAAACTGGAGTTCTGGGTGGTGCTGAGCCACCACATTGGTGATGGGAACTGAACCTGGGTCCTCAGTAAGAACACTGAGCTATCTCTCTAGCATCTCAACTTTACTAAAGGAAAATTTACATTTGATCAAATGCCAAGAGTTTTAATTTTGATAATGGGTATGCCTAGGTGTAACTATAACCCAACCAAGACATAGAACATTTTGATCAGGTACACATATCTTTTGGGAGGAAACATTTCAACTTAGCTAGAATGGTGTGAGGCCCAGGTGTCAGCATTTTTTCAAAACTCCTCCCCCAGGTGGCTCTAAGGTACGGCCAAGGCTGAGAATAACCAACTAGACTTCCCCTCCCTGAGATGGGAACATTGAGATGAGGAGACAAGAGTGACTGGAGTCTCAGGACTGTCCAGAACTAGGGTGAGGGCAGCTCTAAGGGGTACACCAGGAAAATGCAAGTCCCAAGGCCTCTCTCCTCTCAGACTCTGCATGGGGGGCTTCGTAGAAATTAACAGACTACAAAGCACAGCCCAAGTCCAGCTGGAGTCAGCCTGCCAACTATAACAACTGAT